GTAAGCTACGCAGGTATGTCCCATACATTAGTTCTCGGGTGTTTGGAATTGTGTTTACAGAACGACCATGTTCCTACGATCAAACATGACTATAAATGGATAGCAGCAGGGTTACGATTACCCTGACTGCTCGTACACGAATACTAGTGGACCTCTGAACGGCCAAACTTTGTTCCTGCTAGAATATTTTAGTAAAGTAAAATTTTAGTAAAGATGGGGTCTGTTTTTGTCGAATATTTTGTTATAAGTGGGTGACTTCAAATACTCCACCACTACGAAATTAATTCCGTCCTCCTGTTCCATTTCAGTTTTTCCTCAAAAGCTTTCAAAGTAAGCTTTCGTAGTGCTAAGTACTGATCAAATTATTTCAGAAGAATTCAAAATCAAAAAAATTGAAAGACAGTCCCCAGATAGACGCTAGAGATTTGGCCGAGTTCCGGAGGGGCTAGCTCATGTTCAATGTAGTGCTTATGCAGTACTGAATCGAGCCACTGGTAACGCTTACTGGTTACTGGTTAAAGCTGTCGTGATTTAATATCATTAAAAAGGATAAGTAAATGTTTAAGCTTTCACAGAGCCTCTATGAACTTCGGGAGTGCATTTTCCCTGATTTCCTTAAATTTTTGCAATAAAATTAGATCTTTGCAAAAGTTCGGGTTACAAAAAANAAAAAACGAGAGAAAAAAACGAGAAAAAAGAAAAAGGTAGTGAAAAACCAAAACAGGAATCTGAAATTCGCTAAAGATAGCAAATCACTTTTTAGTTATCAGGTATGACCCTTTGCTGGAGAATTCGCATCCCCCGATTTACTTTTTACGCAACCTTGTAGATAGAATTTATAGCTGGTGTTGAAATCTTCATTCAAAGTTTACTACTTCATATTTGGATGTAGAACTTCTCAGTTCATTGTTCATCATGTAAAGCCCTTAAGAATTCGTCACTTTCAGGTCGTACCAGTCTAATGACCTGATCGACCGACTCAATTACCAGTATACAGCCATGTTAGTAGCGTTGGGTGCTATCACGCTGGCAGCAACTCAATATGTAGGAAAGCCGATACAGGTATGAACTTTTTGCTGTTTTTCTGTAGTAGAATCACAGGGTTGAAGGTAAGCTTCAAGTTCAATCATGTAGAAATCGGTCTTTTTTGCTAAAATTGATTTCATTTTTGACACGAGTTCGGAACTCCCAAGTTATTGTTTCACTGTTTTCATTCTTTGGCTACTGGCCTTACTGTTACTCCAGTTAATCCCTACTGAATCTCTTGAAAGGCCTTTTGGCACATTCTGTGCTTTTCTGGAGGTGATGAAGGACTGGGGAAGTTTTTTTCCCCTACAAATTACTCTGTCAGAGTTATGCTCGGCTTCTTTTATTGGAAATATACAACACTCTGATTCACAACAAGATTCATTAATTTGACTTCCGACAGGTCCTCCTTTCTCACTTCAAATTCAAAAAACATATTTACTGAAAGAAAGTTTTACTTGTACTCCTTCTTGACTGCCATTTTTTTCCGCGTCAGTTTCAGTGTCAATTTTTTTGCCTCCTATTCGTTTCTCTTACCATGTAGTACTTCCCGGGTTAAAGACAAAATTAATGGAACGCCGACTTATCGAAGAAAGGACGGCCAGCTGCATGGAGCAGGTGCCTTGTCAACAAAATAGAATGCACAAAAATCGAATTTCCCCATCGAACCAGAAGTCGTTTTCTGCAAAGCTAATGCCTTCTTTTAGGTTGCAGGAAGTCAATACACAAAAAAAAGTTTATCAGTCTGTCCTATCCTAAGAAAGCATCTCTTGAAGTTTTGCTACAGTCCAGATTTTTACCGAGATTTTCTGGAATCTTCAATGGATTTTTACTGGAGTAGCCTACCCATGTATGTATGTATGACATATGTATTGGCTTCCTCTTCCTTACCTCTTGACAGGTTCGAATCCGGTCACTCCGCTATTGAAGCCCACTGAAACTTATGAGGAGTAATTGGCCTTGAACGCCGTTTTACACTGTTCTGTGCCTGTCTGTACATCAAAGAAGCTAATCCACGAGAACTTCCAAATCTTTCCGGAAAAAAATCAGGACCTCAGGGGAAGTTTAGGCATTTGTTTACGAGATACTTTCTTTACACCCCAACAGCATAACGCTACGAAGACATTTTGCTTTTTTGAACCAGCCGAACACGAGCACAAACTGATTTCCACCCTTTCTGGGGATTTTGTTTATTCCATTATTAACCGATGAAGAGTAACCTAATACCTTCGAAGTTGTTGGCCTCAAACATTACTGGTCCATTACTCATCCCAGGAATTTCCATATGGCCGCAAGGAACGAATAATATGGCTTTTGTCTTGTCTTTCTTGACCTTTCAGGGCGTACTTTTCTTGTGTTAAAAACCACAAATATATTATATTGGATTCTTTTTGAAAAACTGCGGTCCTTGAGGTTGCCGGCCACATTCAGAGGTTCCTTGTTTTTGTAATCCACCATGTCACAGAATCATGAGTTATATTCTTGTTATGTATGATCATTAAATTTCGCTAGCTTCTTTTCTATCTTTTTGTGCTTCTTCTTCTCCTGTAATCGCTATAGCTGATTTTTCTTTAGCTTTGTCTTCCCGTTCAGTAGCGACCAAGAGATATAACGATGACTTTTATGTTGTTCATTCAACCATAGAAAAAAAGCTAAACAAGCGTTATCAGCAGATACACTGCACGTATGAATCGCAGTGTTACAGATTTTTATTGAAAAACGACTACCGTAATCACCTATGACGTCATCACATGTGTTCCAGAAATAACCCTAGCCTCATTATTGGTACTCACAGCTTACTAGAATAGGCGTTGCACAAGTTGACACCTCTTTGATACAAGTAATGGGCGAAACCTGTATTTATGGCATCTTGAAGATCTCACTTTCTCAAATGCTTCAAAAACAACGACTTGTTCTAAATTGCAAATAAGTTTTTAAATAAACAAATAAACAATAGACAAATATAGCTGAGATTAATTTTTTTATGTGCTTTGAATGGCTATAAAGATTTTTATGTTGTATTTTTTCAGTGTTGGGTACCTGCACAATTCACCGGAGCTTGGGAGAAGTAGGTTTTACGCTTATTTTTCATCACTTTCAGCGACTTAGAAGCTCTTGTTCAACGGTGAAGTAGTAAAATGTATGGTATTACTAATAAAAAAAGTTTAGATATGCAGAAACATACTGTTTCATCAAGGGATCGTACTTCTTACCGGATGACGACCATCCTAATGAGGATTTCATCGAAAGAGATAATGCTGTAAGTGCACGTTCTCATTTCTACCGTATCACTTCCCTGTACGAGCTCATTCTTTGAGTGGCCTTGGCCAAAGCTGCAGTAATTCATAGTATTACTTTTACTGAACAAGAAAATGCTGGACTGCTACCAGTTGTTTACTTCAGAGGGCTAATGTGGCCCACGAGCCCACGCCTGTTTCGTAGTTGTTGCTTTTCTGTTTTGTTAACTTACTACCCTACTGTGAAGTTAGGCTCCCGTCACTGCTTCGAACTGCCCTGTTTTTGTAACTTCTATTTCACTAATCCTTATTTTACTGTTTATTTTGCTACTCTCTTCAAACTCCAATAAAATGTAAAAGTCGATCAACTCAGTGATCCTCATAGCTGAGCTCTTCTAGAATTTCTAGTCACTCCTTTTTTACTGTTTTTTGGTAAGTCGTTCGCAGCGAAACATCCTTGAGCTAGTTCGCGTCAAAAATCGATAAATCGACTTTATGACTTGATATGTGTTTCTTATTTCCTATTGTCTTTGTAAAATCATAAAGTGAAGCATGTATCCTGCTTAGGATATTACCTGGAAATGACTTTCTATGGAATATTTGAGGCATACTACAAACCTTTTGAAATACTCTCAGAATCTCCTGAGGTATACTGAAGTTTTATCTTAGGTTATCGGCTACTATCAATGGGTTCCACTAGTACTAGCGCTGCAAGCGTTTTTGTTCTATGCACCATGCGTTATTTGGAAAGCTTTAAACTGCTCTACTGGTAGGTTACCCCATTCTACTTTTTAACCTACTTAGCTTTTAACTTTTTCTTGACTTCGTAGCTCTTGTGTAGGTAACCAGTCACTACTTAAAGTAGTTTAGGTATCAATGTGAAAGACGTGCTCGAGAACACCGCGAAGGTAAAGAAAAATGTCACCACAAAAGAACGCGAAAACCAGGTGAGGTTCAAAACAGCATTTGAATGTTTAAACAAAATTCTTTTCGAAAATATGCTGAAATCACGGAAGTAAATGGAACGTTCTGGGGCGTATTATAAAGATCATCTCATGATGGAGCAAGGGAAGCGGCTCTGATTGGTCAGCTTCTGCCGCTCCGTTCGATGGTTGGGAGGCTAGGCTCCTCCCAAGATAACTCCGCCCACGCTCCTAGCCCGACCACTCCTTTTAATAAATCTTTCGGCAATCCATTCCTCTAAAAAGGGTCAATCCACCTTTAAGTCTCTGAGTTTAGGTTTTCAAAGCCGCTGTACATTTGAAAGAGGCCCTGGAACTGCAGAGAGAACTGAAAACAGGTAAGCAAACGTTTCAATGGAAATATGTATGCACCATAAAAGCATAATTTTTGAATGTTTTTACAAAGTTTTGAAGTTTATAATATTCAAAAGAAGAACGTCTTCTTTCAGAAGCTGGAATGATGTCGAAAGTGCGGAAATCGGGTTCCTATCTATCCGCTGTCTACGTATTCACGAAATTCCTCTATGTCTTCAATATTATAGCACAAGTTGGTTAAACGGAAATTAAGTTGTAATAGCTTTGTGATACTAGAGACCAATTTGGGGAATCTCCGGGATGGGCCTATTCTCGGGGTAAGCCCGAATTAAAATCCACAACTAGAATTTGAATGTTTGAGCTGATTATAGCAGCGGGGCCTTCGGTTAGTTCGGGACCGGTCCAATGAGTTGTGGCCGTGGCCCAGTGGCAACTTGTAGTGGCCTAGATTTTAATGGACACCAAAATATTAATTTTTCGTGGTCTCAGTATCAATGGGTCCTGACAATAGAGAGTAGGGCTCAAAAATCAAGCATGACTGGAGCTTAACGGAACCGAAAATGAGTTTTCAGCTGATACCCTAACCTTCGTTTTCAGTTCTGTATCTTCTCGGCATTCCTCGGAACTAACAACAACTTCTGGGGTTGGGAGATTTTCTCGGACATCATGAGTGGTCGTGAATGGAATGTTACTGGTAACTTTCCCAGAGTAACAATGTGTGATTTCACGGTAAGTCGTTGGAGGCTGAGTAATACAGCGTTCCTGAGTACAATGCGTTGAAATTTGCTTTAGGTACGAGTACTTGGTGCTCTCCATCGGTGGACTGTACAGTGTGTACTGATGATCAACATGTTCACTGAGAAAATCTACGTTTTCCTATGGTAAGTCTTGAAATTGTTAAAAGTTCTACTCCTAAGCCCTACAGGTCACAACGCTGATTCAAAGTAACTTAACTGCCGGCTAACTACTCTTATTGCTCACCTGACTGCCATTAGGTGAAATTTCTTAGTTTTGTGACTGTCGCTCAGTTAATCGTGACTCTGTTTGATAAAGAGGCGGAGCAAAAGTCACGCTAATCGCTAAAGATGCATGCTTCATTGGCTACTTTTCGTGGCTCCACCCACGAGCATTCCTCCCACTTCCCGGCCTTCAGTTTTGGACCCTTTGCACTCCCCTTTTTTGGTTTCAGAAGAAAGGTGACTAGGTGGAAAGCCATCAGGAGACATGGTCTAGTTAAATGTTAGAGCACTTCACTGTTTCGATCATGGCGCTGTCGCCTCACCGTCAATCCACCACTTACTAATAGACTGCTTTTGAATGGTATGATTTCGTCCTCTCCTGTTTCGCTAGATAACTTGGCAGTTTTCTTCCCCCATTATCCTCCTTTCGTCGGTGCTCTCTCAGAGGTTCCATAGCTGTTACGGACATTTCTACCTTATTTTTGTACAATTTTTCCTGGCCTTTTATGCTTATTATTTCATCCGTCACTTAGGATGCGTTAAATGCATGGCGCAGCGGTGGCACTCTTCCGAAGTTTTGCTTTCAGATAGTCTTTACAGTGAACTCAGACTTTTTCAGGTTCTGGTTCGTACTGGTTGGTGTTCTTTCTGTCATTTCGCTCATCTACTGGGTAGTGGCCTTGGTTGGGACCAATTTTCAACGTGGATTCATAACCAAGTAAGAACTGTTCTCTCGTATCCGTTTCACCATCCTGAAACTTACTATTTCATTACTCATTACTTCACTGACAAAGCTTAAGCCTACTGGTAGGCGTGCAGCTACATTATTAAAAACACCCAATTTTCTCTATTATGTTCTCTCCATGCTTTCCCAAAAGTCCCCTATCTGTCGTTTGGTGTCGCTGTCTTACTTC